TGGTACCGGGGATTGAACTTGGGTCCTTGCGCTTGCAAGGCAGGCCACTGAACCACTGAGCTAAATTGCCGGCCCAAAAATATATATTTTTAAAAGTACGGTTGAGGTCATACAATATATCAAGTGGGGAAAAAAATAGATTACAGAATTGTGCCATGAAGACTTTTCCATATTTTTTTTATTAATTTTTTTTTTTTTTTAGAGACAGGGTCTTGCTCTGTAGTCCAGGCTAGCCTTGAAGTGCAACTTCCTCCTGTCTCAACTTCCTGAGTGCTGGGATTACAAGTGTGCATCAGCATGCCTTGCTTTAGGAACCTTTATTTTCAGTTACTCACTATTCTGAGTAATACCACACTGAAAAATAGCTTATGTATGAATTTGTGTACATCTGATTATATCATATGTTAAGTTTTAAGGAGTAAGTTGCCAGATCATACTGTTCTGGCACATTATTATTATTGTTGTTGTTGTTGTTGTTATTATATTATTATTACCAGGGATCAAATTCAGTTCCTTGCTCTAACGAGGCAGGCAGCAGAACCACTAAGCTAAATACCCGGCCCTCGGCACATTATTAAAGACAGTTTTTGGTACACATCGCCATGTTGTCCTGAAAGATCAGCCCAGTGTGCTGTCCTGGCCAGGTGAAATTGTGGCTTTGCCCCTTCGTCTACTCCAGATGCCCCATCTTGGGGCCAGGGCTCTAGAAATGCTTTTACCATTCTCCGAGCATCTGTTTGCTTTGCCCTCTCCCATTCTCATGAGGAAGCCTGCAGTGATGTGTGCTGGTGGAGGGGGTGGCCAGTCTGAAGGACACAGGGGTAAATGGTAGATGGCCAGGAGGTCTGACTGAGCAGACTGCTATGGGAGGGCACCACTGAGCCTGCTCTACCCATGTGGCACAGCCTCCCAGGGACTTTACAATAAGTCAGAGGGCCTCACCTGCCTTGTGCACCCTTAGAATCCTGAGGATGGCTTCGTGGAGTCTGAGCTGGGCCTGTGTCCTAGAGAGATTGTTAGAACAGTACAATGGAGTGGCCTTCACTCCAGGTCTCAGGAGGTTGGAACTGTTAAGCTGGGCTGTTGTTTCAGAAGGATCTACTACACAGGCAGCGCTGCTGCTGCAATTGCTGTGGGTCCCCAGGATCTTTCTTCTTTCCTCTGAAGTCCTTGGGGAGAGACACTGTTCAAAGCCAAGATGCCGTTTTGAGCATGTAGCTTTTCGCCGTTTGTGATGTCAGTAACATCAGGTACAGTCTTCTGTGGCTGCTTTCCTGAACTACAGAGAACCCAGGAATGACAAGTTGAGGGCCCTGGGTATCATTACTGTTGAGTTACTTCCTTGTCGCATGTCACTCACTGGTCTCACAGTGCCCGGACACAAGAAGGTTGCTGCATCTGTGTTTTAGTTACTTTTTGTTGCTCAGATGAAGTACCTAACACCCACAGGTCAAGGAGAAAAGGATTATTTCAGCTCACAGTTTGTAGAGGTTTCAGTCTGTAGTCAGTCGGCTGGCTCTGAGGCTGGCTCTGAGGCAGGGAGCTATGGCAGAGGGTCATTGTAGAGGATAAACAGTTCATGGCAAAACAGGCAGGAGACAGCAAAACAGCAAGCAGCAGTGGCAGCCGCCTTCTTTCTGTCCCTTTATATTCCATCCGGGCTACAAGCCTACTGATTGATGCCCCCCACACCCAGGATGGGGCTTCCATTACCCACCCCCTTAATCTCAGTGTCACACCCTTAACGCACATTCACACATTCTAATCTAGCCCCCTTTAAAATGCCTCACGTGCATGGGTCTTGGGGGGTCATTTACATACAAGCTATAACAATCTGTAACCTGTGCTCCATAGTGGGAGAAGGTGGCCAGGCACCTGTCTTAGTCCATTCATACTGCTATAACAAAATATCTTAATTTATAAACTTCATTTCTAGACCTGGGAATTTATAAACAACAGAAAGTTATTACAGTTCTGGATACCAGGAAGTCTAAGATCGAGACGCTGGCAGATTGGTGTCTGCTGAGGGCCCACGTCCTCATGGATGGCTGTGTCCTCACATGGTGGAAGGGGTCGGGGGGGTCTCTCAGGTCTCTTTCATGCAGACAGTAATCCCATTCATGAGCCCTCCTGATATAATCACCTCCTGACATCACCACTGCACTAGAGACTAAGCTTCAGTGCATGAAGTTGTCAGGGACACACTCAGACCATAGCAGTGTCCTGCCAGTGATACTAGGAGGTGTGTATGTGGGGAACAGAGTGATCAGAAATGTTATCTCTTAGTACTAGGACCCTGCCGGGGATCTTCCATGTTAGCCTTCTTTGTTGGGATTTAGATGTTTAGATTAACAGTTTCCTAGTGCAGTGAATCCCCTTACATGGGAGACAGTCCAAGAACATATGTGTAATGGTTTGGAAATGACACGAGAATAAAATAGTTGAGGCAGATGCAGTAAGGTCTGAAAAGAGGTGAGCGTGGTCAGTTGGGCACAGGCACAACTTGACCGAAGAAAAGCAGGAGACGAGAGTCACACAGGGCAGAGGTCAAGTGTAAATTGTCTCCAGGCTGGGATAAATAGATATGCTCAGTCAAACTGCATTTTAGTGGATCACATGGGTTTGGTGTGTGTGGTGAAGCTCTACCTGAAATGCCTTTCCAAAGAGCTGGGTGTGGTAGAGCACATCTGTAATCCCAGCCCTTGGGAAGCCGAGGCAGGAGGATTGCAAGTTCGAGGCCAGCCTGAGCAATCTAGTGAGCTCAAGGCCAGCTTGGAGTGTGTAGCAAAACCCTGTATCAAAAATATCAAAACAAACAAGAGCTTGTGGGTCCCATATCTCTTTAGATTCTTACCACTGTTCTCAGAGAATAACAGAGTTTGCCAGAATGTGGACTCTGGGGAAAAAAAAAACAGAGCCCAAGCCGTTCCTCTGATGTGGTCAAAGTGAGCAGGTAAGTCAGTGTTAGTGCCTTGATCCCCTGACTCTGACCAGTGCTAAAATCGGTACAGCTCTGGGTAACAACAGTTAGGTCAATTTGGATCTTCAGAATGGGTCTTTATACTCTTGACTTTTCTTTTGACAGAAAAAGCAGCAGACAGAGGCCCTCATTCTCTTCTTCAACAGAACAGCTGAAGCTAAAATCCCATGTGTCATGTAAGTAGTCACCAAGTATCCACCTGAATTTTCTCTCTTCCATCTTTAAAAAAATAAAACAAAATGTTAATAACATAGTTTTCCAGAATGGCTTTACTGCTGTCTAAGAAATGATCAGAGAATAGAATCATAGCTACAATGAAAATAAGTTTCAGGCACTGTGGTCTTACCACCCATGACACCTAAACTAACTATAACCAGAGCAGCTGCCAAGCTGTGCTTGCAGCCCAGAGAGAGCTGGTCTCAACCCCAGGGGCTGGGGTTGCTGCTGCTTAACAGTAGAGTGGGCTTTACCCAGTCCTGAAAGGAGAAAGTGTTCATCTTGCTAGGAAAATTGTGGTCACTTGCTTTTAGAGAAAACATTAGAGAGGCTGTTCTATGGGGTTACTCTGGTCTTTTCCAAAGACTCTGGATTTCAGCCGTTACTTACCTAAGTAAGCATACAGAGCTCAGAGTCTGTTCAGAAGATATGGGTGAATGGCCACTGTCGCATCTAGTTCTCTTTCTACTTTATAAACGAAAGATGAAGTGAACATTTCTATTCTTAGAATTATTCACTGACTTAGAAAAATCTAAATTGTCTGCCTTTCTTAAAGAAAGAAAAACCCACTCATGTTCAAATATCACTGCGGTTGAAACTTCAGGCAATTCTAGTGACGTGCCGTTTGCCTGATTTTTTTATTGTTTAACATTCACAGGAGGCTCTGGCAGGATAATGGTCTCAGTGATTAAATTACAATGAAGATGGATTTTGTGTGGGTTGAGTGGTGCCAGACTGGCTGTGGGGACTGAGACATGTGGAGAAATTGAGAAATACACAGCCTCCACCACCCTCTCCCACAGCCCCTGGATCCTGTAGCCCACTACCCGGTCCCTCCCGAGCCTTAACTGTGAGAAGAGGCCCTGCCTCAAACCCATGCTGTCCCCCAGGAAGCCTGCTGACTGTCAGCCAGCTCTCCTTCACCCTCTGGTCACTGCCCTATTCATTTATGTTGCTGTTACGGGACTCATGAGCTCCAGATGTGGTTTTTATGGCCTGGAAAATTCTCTCTCAGTGAATTGCCACCACCAACCCATTTCTCACGTGCTGCTGAGTGGCAGATGGCCAAGCATGAGTTTTGCCTCTCTCGCTCAGCCTGGACCTCTCTGCATCTCAGCATCTGTGGGTGCCTCTGTCTTTGGATGCTGGGCCCATAGCCACCTATATCCCTTAGAATTTTAAGTCTCCCCATTTTATTACCTCATAAATAAACTTTGGCCATACCATACTTTTTCTAAATTCTGTGATAAATGATGTAGTGCTTTATGGTTTCCAAGCAGTTTTTACCTCTGTTAACTCATTTCACATTCATAGCATCTTTGTGAATTCAGTAGAGGAAGTCACTTGGGCACCATTTTTAAAATGCAGTCACTGAGTAAATCTCATAAAAATCTCTGGACCTCCGAGTCACACATCTAGTTAAGGGAAAATTAGACTGTAAATCCTAAGAACCTCAGTTTCCCCTATTAGCTGCCCTGTCCTTTTTTGTTGCTGTTTGTTTTCATTTGAATGGGCATCTTTCAGTATAACACCCAAAGTTATTGTGTTAAGCACATATTTCCAGCCCAGTAACAGGAATTTTTAGTGGGTAGAACAGTAAAGCACTGTCAGTTGTGAAGGAGAAAGAAGTATTACAAAATTGGAGATGGAGGTTTTTATGAGCTCACCCAGTTAATTTTGTTGCCCTATGACTTTTGATGCTGTAGCAATAAAACTTTTTTACTTGTATCATGGTGAACTTTATGTCTCACAATAATTAGATTTCTTTTAGTACAATAGTTCATGAGTTGAACTAGAGTCTATTACTTGGGTCAGTTGGAATGTTGTTTGAAAATATTTTTCAGAGGTTTAGAGGACAATCCATTTCTCTGTCCAACACTTGCGTGTGACAAGAAGCTGTTGTGATTTGTCTGTCTCTAAGGAAGGCTGTGTCTGGGGATGACCTCAGGCTGGGCAAGTGTACCTGTATCTGCGGGAGCTCACTTTGTCATAGCTGTGAGCAGCACTTGTCTCCTCAGGCTTACTTCTTCTTTGGGGTTGTGAACCCTCTATAGCAGTGATGGTGAACCTTTTAGAGCTTCTGATGGTACAAACAGGCCACTGTGGCACACATGCCAAGGGCTCACCACCACTGCTGTACAAGGTGCTAATCCAGGAAGAAGCCAGCCAAGGTCTCCTGACTAGATGAATACTCCTTAACCTATAGTTCCAGGGAGTGGTAGTCTTCCTTTTTTTGCTTAAGGATCTGGTAAATGACACACACAGAGACGCAGGAGTGGGTAAAAAACAAAACAGAACAATAAAACGCTTACTTTGCTAGCAAAGTATTGGCCTGCACCAAGAGCTGTGCCAAATGACCCACCCTAGACTGGGTGACAATCTGCCTTTTATAAGACTTCTATAATCATGAACTCATTTTAGGCAATACGACATTCTAGTTCCCACAGTTACCATCACAAATCATGGTCACAAGACAGTTCATTGTTAACTCAAATGTAGCACTGTCTTTCAGGATGTTTATCTTTTAGCTATTCCATCCCACAAGAGTGGAGGTCAGGGTTAGGAAGGCAGGAGTGGTGACCTTCCTTTCATCTTACCACCTTTATAGTCTTATGGTTTAAAGAAAGTTTTATGGTTCAGGGACTGTTATCTTAGTTTGAACATCTGGTCTCATCCTGGGATGAGGCTTAGCATTAGTTAATTTTAAACCAGGGCTACGTGCCTTTAAGCTTTAATGGTGAAACCTCAGTTGTTTTGTTAAACCAGCAAAGCAAAGCAAATTACAGAAGCAAAAGACAGCGGTTAATCTATAGTTTCTTTAACATTTTGTAGGTTGCATACTATTTGCAGAAGTTCTCTCTATCATTTAAGGCCCGGGACTTGAAGATAAGTTAGAAAACAGTAGATGGAGAACTAAATTAAAGGAAGACCAAGCAAACATGATAACTCCCCACCATATTTCTTTGTCTTGAAGAAGAATTCAGTCACCCACTGGCTTGACTGTGGGCTCTGTTGTCTGAGGTCTAAGTAGTGGGGCATTGGAGAACCTTCCCTGAATATCTGTAGCATAATTATTTTTATCTTGGAACTGAGTTTTGAGAAGTTTGCATGCTCTCAAGAATGCCTTAACCCCCTACTTGGGTGTTTCAGATCTACACAGACACTTCAGTTTTGTGCTGCAAAGTATAGTGATAATAGCAGCTAATGTGAAAACTTTTTATTATCTTCTGTGACCTCAGTTAATAAGAACGTTTCAGTAGCATACCAGAGTCACATAAAACATACTTACATTTATTTGTGTATGTCAGATGACTAAAAAGTATAGAACCCTTTCTGTACATGACAAAAGAGCTTCCACACAGCTCCGTGGTTTGCTTGTGTTCACATGACCTGGTGTGAGGGGGAAGGGAGACGGGTCAGCTCTCAGAAAAGGGAGTGAATGGGCCGGGGAGGGAGACACATTCAAGGTATCTGCTGCAAATGTCGGTCACTTTTCAATAATTAGCCTCCACTGGAAGAGTATATATTTAACCTATTTTGTTATCATTGTCAAATACAGTGAATATATCCTGGACCTCCTGGAAAGTGGAAGAGAGAAGTTTCTAGTGTTCGCACACCATAAGGTGGTTCTGGATGCAATTGCTAAGGAACTGGAGAGAAAGGTAAGCTTCCTTTGAAATTCAATGTAGAGTCCTGACTTTCATTGATGTGTCAAGGTGCTCTGAGCAGGGCTAGGTCAGGTTCAAGCAAAGATGTAAGGTTGTGGTTTCCTGAAGCCTTCGCTAAACTTCACCGACGCCTTTCTAAAGAAGAGTTCTTGCTTGTAGGACCTCAGTGGGGTCAGAAGATTTCCCCAGCTGTGTCACTTTAACTTCCTCTGTGCTTTGGACAGAGATCCCAGGAGTCTTGCTGTGGGAGCATCTCCAAGTGTCTTTCATTTTCCTGCATACATAGTTACAAAAGTGGCCAGAGAGGGGATAACAAAGAGTGCTGCAGAGACAAGTATTTACGTGAATGTCTTCCTTTCTGCTTTTCTTTTGTTCCTCTATTTATCCAGGTGCCTTCATTAATTGCACATAGCTGTGTGCATACTCCAAACAGAATTTTGTGGCTCTCATCAAAGAGCAGAAATAGGTTTTCTAAGGATGTTCTTTAAAGCGAAACACGTTGTATGTGTTTTAGTTAATCTTAGGACCATGATTTCCCTTTGTCTTCCCTCATTTTTTATACTTAGGTAAGGTTTCAAGTTTCACTGTATTCATTTAAAGGTTTACTTTTATTTATTTATCCTTGCATTGTGCGGATCAAACCCAAAGCCTCAAACATAGTAGGCAAATGCTGTACTGCGGTATTACGTCTCCCACCCTTAAGATTTGTCAGTAATCAAATACTGAGGCCCCCTTAGTATTCTAATTTCATTTGCATTTCTTCATCCCTAGTGATGATATCACTACCCTTAGATTACTGTGTGTCCTTCCCTCCGTATTGTCATACTTTACTCTGAAAGTCTGTGTCCTTACAGAATATGCAGTCTCCTTTTGTATATATTAAAATTCCATAAATGGTAGCACAGTGTAAGTATCCTGCAATTTGCTGTTTTGCTCAACATTGTTTTCGAGATTTTTTCCATACAATAAATAATGTGTAGCTCATTCACTCTTGCTGCTCAATACTGTCTCACTGGATGAATGTTACAGTTTATCAGCTGTGGTGCGGTGTATCCATTCTCCAGCTGACAGACATTGTTTTATTTAAGGTTTCAGCTGCTGTGTATTTTTGAATATGTACCTGTGTTTGTGTCTGCACTTCTATATGCCTTGTGTATGTCAAGGGACGATATTGATTGTATCGTTATTGGATAGACTCATCTTCAATTTGACTGTCTGAGGTGGTTATTCAAATTTGTGATCCCATCAGCAGTATATAAGAAGCACAGTTGTGCAGCATGTTCGTCCACATTTGGTTTTATCACATGTTCAACTTTTGTGAATCTAGGGAAATGAAATCTCATTTCATTCTTGCTTTAACTTGCATTTCTGTGACTACGGGTAAAATACTTTTTTATCTAATTATTAGCCATATTTTCTCTCTTCTTTGAGGATTCTATTTGCATTCTTTACCTGTTTTTTTCTGAATGATTTAGAAAAATTCTTTTAAAATTCTGGCTGTTAATCACTTATCAATCATTTATTTTTTCACTTTAAGTTTCTGCTAAATAGGAGTTTTGCATTTTTATTTTCATTCTTTTTTTTTTTTTTTTTTTTTAATAGCACTGAAAGTCGAACCTAAGACCTTAACATTGAGTTACTTTTCCAGCCCCCTTTCTTTTTTTGCTTTTTTATTTTGGGACAGTTTTGATAAATCACTGTACCCATGTGAGGCTTGAACTTGGGATCCTACCTCAGTCTCCCTGAGTGCTGGAAGAACAGGAATTGTATTTTAAGTTTATTACTTTTTTCATGTTTGGTTTGTGCCTCTTGTGCCTGATTTAAGAAATCTTCTCCTTTGTAAAGTTATGAAGGTTTTTTTCTATTTCTCTTGTGTGGCTTTTTTTTTTTTTGTACCAGGGATTGAACTCAGGACCTTGTGCTTGCAAGACAGGCGGCAGCACCACTGAGCTAAATCCCCAGCCCTTTCTCTTGTATTTTTTGTCTGGACGTTGTAGAGGTAGATTTTTTAATCTACCTCCTACCTGGGTTTAATTTTTGCAGACAAAATGATGCAGGAAGCAGGCACATATAATTAAAGCCTGTAATCCCTGGGGAAAAACAAGAAACCTGAGATAATTGGAAAACTCTTAGAATGCATGAGTATAGTAGCATAGTTGGGTTCCAAACAAATACTTTAAAATAAATTCCTTTTTTCAAATATACTAGCCATAACTCATTAGTACATGTAATTGGAGAAGATCAAGTTCACAACAAGATATATAAATAATCTCACCCAAAATATGGGAAACTAATGAGGATTTGGGAGAATTTGAGGCATGACACTTTGTGAAAGGGCTAAAAAGTGTAAAAATGCCAGTCCTTCCCAAATTAATTTGTAAGTTTAATTCAATTCTAATAAAAGCTCCAATTGGATTTGTTAAATGAAATGTTAATACTGTTCTTCTAATGAACATCTCAAAAAAAAAAAAAAAAAGGAGAGAGGTAGCTGAGGCAGTGTTGAAAAAGAGGAGCGGTATTGGAGATACTAATAACTGTTATAAGCTGGCTGTGATGGATGGCACAGACCCAGAACACTGAAAGGCTGAGGCAGGAAGATCACAAGTTCGAGCCCAGCCTGGACTATTTAGCAACTTGGTGAGACTGTCTCAAAATAAAAAATCAATAAAGGGTAGGAAATGTATCTCAGTGTGAAGGCTCTGGGTTCATTCCGCAGTATCACAGTACATTTTTCCTCTCTTTAAATTAGTCATTGGCATTAACTTCATAAACTGCATAAAATTCATATCCTTTGACTATTTTTGTAATTCTGCCAGGAGTTGGTGCTATTTTTACATGTAATTGCCACTATTTGTATTTCATATAGGTCGCTATTATTTTCCCCAGTTGATTTCCTTGTATTAATTTTTTTGTTTTGCAATGCTCCTGTTTAAAAAAATCTTAATTTTTCCAACTATAAAAATAATATAAATCCAAAAATATATATAGATTCATTGCAAAAATCCAGAAAAACTAAAGAAGATAATGTAGACAGTCAACATTAATTTTTTTTGGTACCAGGGATTGAACTTGGGCCCTTGCACTTGCAAGGCAGGTGGCAGCACCACTGAGCCGAATCCCCAGCCCCAACATTAATGTTTTAGCCAGATACCAAAAACTTCAATTTTAGAATTTTCTTAGATTCTTAAAGGGTTCAGTAATCCCCCAGAAGTTAGGAACCACTGACTTAGTTGATCTTTTATGGTTAAATGGACAGTAATTTGTTTTAGGGGACATTTGTTCATGAACATTTAAGTTTTTAATTATTCATATTATAAACAGCATGACTAATATCCTTGTCCATAGGTCTTTCTGCAGTACTGTGATCATTTTCTTAGGAAAAATTCCTAGCAGTGTAAAATTGAAAAAAAATGAGTGTATATATTAAGATAATGCCACACTGTCCTGCAAAAATGTACCAAATGCACAAAACAACCATGACTTAAACACTGTGTACATGTGTGACAGAGTGAATCCATATTTTTAGATAATCTAAATCAATTTTTCCTTTATAACATTGTTTTTATGTTTAGAAAGCTATTCCCCATCACTGGGTATATTCACCAATACTTTTTTTAATAAACAGTGAGGTCAATTCTCTCCCTGCCTCAGCTACCTAGTCAACCCTCTAAACTTCGTATGCTGAATAAATTAAACTCGATTTGTGATAGTTCCTTGATTATATATTTTTTTCATTTATACAGAAGGACTACTCATTCTGTTCTGCCCATCAGGCCACCAGCTCTGACCTTGCATGATTCAGGGTGTTTTGTTTTGTTTTGTTTTGTTTTTTTGTTTTTTTTGTTTTTGTCTTTTTTTTGGTTTTTTGAGACAGGGTCTCACTATGTGGTTGAGACTGACCTGGAACTCACTATGTAGCCCAGGCTGGTCTCAAACTCACAGTGATCCTCCTGACTCAGCCTCCCGAGTGCTCGGATTATAGGCGTGCGCCACCATGCCCGGCCATTATTCAGTTTTAATGACTAGTCCTTTGTACTCCAATCTCTCCTTGAACTCGCTAGGTAGCCCACACTGGCCTTGAATTTGAGTTGATCCTTCTGCCTCAGCCTTGGAGGTCTGAGATTACAGGTGTGTGCCCCCACTCCCAGCTAAGACCTTTTATTTAAAAGATACACCATACACATGGAGAGGAGAGACAGAGAAAAACTTGGTAGTACTAATACTTCTTTATGGTGTTTGTCATTTAAAAAATAAATAAATACCCCTTAAGAGAAAACAGCTGAAGTAAATTATGTCATTAGCATGAATTAACACAGCCTACCAGTTGACTGCTGGACGTGTAAATCAAAGAAATAGGGCTGGGGATTTAGCTCAGTGGTTCTGCTGCCTGCCTCCTAAGCATAAGGTCCTGAGTTCAATACCTGATACCCCCCCAAAAATCAGAGAAATGAAAATTATATTCACACAAGAACCTGAACACAGATGTCCCGAGCAGTGATAGCCCCAAGTTGCATCAGCCCAGATGTCCATCAGCAGATGAGAGGCGAGACTGTGGTACACGTGTGCTGTGGAATGCTACCCCCAGGGGGATAAAGAATACACTGCTGAGGAAGGCAGCAGGCTGGGTGAATCTCAGAGAATGATGCTGAGTGAATAAAAACCATCCCAAGAAAGTTCATATTGATAGTGCATATTAAATTATATTGAGGGCCGGGGATGTAGCTCAGCGGTTCTGCCACCTGCCTCAAAAGCACAAGGACCTGTGTTCAATCCCTGGTACCAAAAAAAAAAAAAAAAA